GGGGTTTAATTCTGCAAGGTTGGATTATTTTAATGCTCCATTTTTGCAGAATTATCTAAAACTACACTTAACAAGTTACACATATGCTCAGTTTTCATATGCTAGACTCCTAGCTGCCGAACAGGTCATGTGGAAGTAATCACATCTCTCCCATCTTGGAGTCCTTGCAATGGTCTGTTAGGTTTCAAGTTGATTTTCAAACCTTTCTGCTTGTGTTCAAGACTACATGGCTTATCTCCAAAGTATCTTACTGATATGTTATCAATTTACTCTTACACACCTGACCTTCGTTCAGCATATTCTGGTTTACTATGGCTAATGCACTGTTTGTTGACATGCATGTACTGTATGAATGTATGAATAAGGATTTTTGGTTCCTCTGCTTTTGTAAAGCACTTCAAGATAATTGCTTTTACAGGTACTATATAAAATAAAGTAATTAAGTGTTCAGATGGTTTTCTATTTGGTGATTGTGAATATAGTATCTGGTAATCCTGACAGCATTGTCATGTTGGAAAATGAGCTGTCACTGATGTTGGAAGAAGGATGTCACCAGCTGTTGTTCATAAACTGCTGGTGACAAAAGTGCCCTCGGGCTTTATTGTATGACATTCCTTAAGATTATGTCAATGATGGTTTTATTGCTTCTCAGTATTTTATTACCCATATTGAAAATTATTTTTGCATATTTTCACTGTATCTGAATCTCAAATTTATACCTAAATGTAAAACTACGTATAATGGAAATGGAATGGAATAGAAATTAAAGAAAACACTTTCTATGTGTTCTTCACTTTTTAAAATGCCCATACTGTACACTTTCATATATGTATATAATACATATACATTTCTCCTTTATGTCTTAAAACTAACAAGCTACATTTTAGATTTTGTAAAATTTTACAGAGTTTTGGAGTTTCTGTTTTTTTCCCATTTTATCTTAAGTTCCTCCTATTATGTGGAATTTATGGAGGTCATCAATCTTAGCCACTTCCACTTAGACATACAAATTTTTTATATGTTATTCTTGCTCACTCTTTTGCAAGTTTCTTTATGCATGTTACCATTTTATGCTTGTTCTTGCCAGAGACATACTGTCTTGCAATATTCAGATGCTTCCTAAGGTGTCCCATTTTGTGACAAAGTGATGCATTCCATTTTTTAAACTTAATGTCTTTAATTCAAAGTTTGAATGCTTCAATTGAAGACGTCTTATGGTATAAGTAAGGGTTCTTCAAAAAATTTTAATGAAAAATCTTCAACAAATTAAAATGAAAAAGCCGAATTACTGTATGTTGGTATGTAAACCTGTGAACTCAATATTCAATGGACGTACACTTGGCACCAATCAGTTAGTCTCGATAAGAAACGTTACAGAATGGTTTGGTGTAGTTTTATCACATTCTTCCTGACGGATGTGCTCAAGCTCACTCAAGTTTCTTGGAGATCATCTATGAACTGCGGCTTTTAGGTTTTTCTTTAGATTCTTCATAGGATTCAGGTCAGGATTTTAACTGGGCCTCACTACTGTAGGCTATTTTTGCTTTCTTATCATGAGTCCACTCCATTGTTCCTTTCTCCTTCGGTTTTGGATTATTTTCTGGCTAAAAAGAAAATTCTGTCCCACTTTAGCTGGCTTTCCTCCAAGACAGGGGTGCCCAACCAGTCAATCGCGATCGACCAGTCGATCCCGGAGTGCTTGTCGGTCTATCAGTTGCAAGAATGTTACTTTTTTCGATCCCCTAAAGATTCATTCAGATCTGTGCATGTAATGTCATACATTTAACTGCCCTTGTGTGTGTTTAACCCTTGTCAAACAGGTTGGAAAAGTGCTGGCTGACACTGGAAAAAAGGCTACAGGAGCTCCGTAAATAGTGTTGTGTGCGCTGCCCAAGAATGGTCTCTTGGTTATTGCAGCATGAACCCCACATTTGCTACAGTGCATAGTGGAGTGAAACAGACTGGATAAAATCGCCAACAGTTTGATAAGTTTGATTGCCTACTTGATAGTTGTAGTGTTTGAGCGAAAATGAAGCAAAGAGGCTGAAAATGTACCGTTACCACAAGGAATGGGAGCATGATTTTCTTTTGTACTTTTGCATTCAAATCTGCAATGCTAGCGTCTATGCCAAAAAAGGAAATATAAAACAACATTTCAAAACTGCACACAAAACATATGATGTGGACTACGGAAAGGAAAATTGGAAAAATTTAAATCTCAGCCAGCAGCATTCGGTTTTCACGAGGCCTAATGCAAGACGGAAAGCGTCAATCATCGCATTGTTCCACGTCCTGGCTCAACACAATAATAATAATAATAATTGCTTACACTTATATAGTGCTTTTCTGGACACTCCACTCAAAGCGCTTTACAGGTAATGGGGATCCCCTCCACCACCACCACTGTGCAGCCCCACCTGGATGATGTGACAGCAGTCTCACCACACACCAGCTCTCAGTGGGGAGGAGAGCAGAGTAATGAAGCCAATTCATAGAGGGGGATTATTAGGAGGCCATGGTAAAGGCCAATGGGAAATTTGGCCAGGACGCCGGGGTTACACCCCTACTCTTTTCGAGAAACGCCCTGGGATTTTTAATGACCACAGAGAGTCAGGATGTCTCATCCGAAGGACAGCGCCTGTTTACAGTATAGTGTCCCCGTCACTATACTGGGGCAGCAGCCTTAGTTTTTCCCAGGAGGTCTCCCATCCAGGTACTGACCAGGCTCACACCTGCTGAGCTTCAGTGGGTTGCCAGTGGTGAGTTGCAGAGTGACATGGCTGCTGGCCATAGACAAGAAGTCATTCAGGGATCAAGAAGTAATACAAAAAGCGTTTGCTGAGGCTGCTGACTTGGCTGTTAGGAGATTTCAAAAACAAACATTTTTGGCGCGGTTCAGACAGCTGTCGCCCGAAATCAAATAGTTTCTCAAGTCGTCTAAACATGATGAATATGACCAATTAGAGGATGACCAGTGGCTTCTGGATTTAGCATTCCTCACAGACTGAATGAACTGAATGTCGAGCTGCAGGGATAAAATAAAAATGTAATTGGCATGATCAGCACCATGTTAAAAAAAATTACAAGTGTTCTCAAGTAAACTTCTCTGTGCCAGTGCTCACATTAAGGTAGGATATTCTTTTTTCTAAAATGGGGGACATTACTTGTTCACTGTAACATGAGTCACTTGCTTTAATTTGCTGTCATTTTAGTGATGGGTATCGTTATTGTACTGATGTGCCCACAGTCGGTTTTTCCTATATCAGAGCTTCAAATTCACACTGGTAGATCACGCTGGTCTGGCAAATAAAAAAGTAGATCTTACATTAAGAAAGGTTGGGCACCCCTGCTCTAAGATATTCCAGTGCTTTTCTCTATCAGTGTTCCCAACAGTCCTGACTAGATGAGAAGCAGAACTCTTAACATAATGCTGGCACCACCATGCTTGACGAGAAGGATAGTGTTAACTAAGTGATGAAGTCTGAGTCAATTTAATGGGTCTGCCCCAGATGTAATGCTGTGGATTTAGACCACAAAGTTCAATTTTTCTCTTTGACCATAAAACCTTTTGCAACATACAGTATTTGCAGTATCAGGAGCAGTATTGCAAACCTCATGAAGGATTTGAGATGTTTTCTTTCTCAGTTCCATACCAGCTACATTGTAGAGCAATTGGGATATGGCTGACCCATGGACATTTTTCCCATTTTTGGCACTGAACTCAGTATAACACTTTCATATTCACAATTGGCATTCCTAACCAGTTTCCTCTTTGTCTAGCTACTCAGTATCTACTGTAGGTAGTGTCTGGGTACCTTCCACTTCTTAATAGTTGACATCACTAAGCTCAAATAAATAGTAGAGTTTTGTTTGGTTTGCCACATCAAAGTGTCTGAATACTTGTGGTATTGTGACTTCTCCATTTTTCTTTAATATTATCTTTTTACTTATTTCTTTTTGTTTTTTGCTTTAAATATGTGGAATAGGTTGTACATATACCAAATATTGATTGCTTCTTCAAAGAGTCATGATCTCCAGCTTAAAAGGAACAAAATGCAGAATTCTTCAAGGCATTGTACCCTCCGTGCAGCTCTCCGTGACTCTCTGATCAAGGGAAATCAATCTGTGGCTCTCCTGTGACCTTATGAAGCCACACAATTGAAGCCTTTTACAAAAGCCACATTATCCTTGATATCACTACATCAGTGCTGCCTAAAACCCAAAGTACAAACTGCTATTGCTGCTGTCATATCATAGCTCTCCCAGTGGTCGGTCCTGTCACACCAACTTCCACAGATCCCAATCTAGAAGTCCATTCGTAACCTTTGCAGCTGCTCAATGACTTGTCAGCCTGCATCTACAGTAATGTCCAAGCAAATCCAACCATGCTGATCTCCTTCCTCAGGATCCCTGATCCTGACAAGGCATCTTCATGGAGCTAAAGTGCAACCACACCCCTCTATCCCACCTTCTGTCTAGCTCTTTATACCTATCTTTTCTCTCTCTCTCGTCCCTCCTGCAGTTCCTGCCTGATACAGTACTTGGTGCCTTTTCCACCTCCATTTATAACTTTTTCTCTCGCTTTTCAGCATTAGATGCCTTTGGCCCCAACAATGTCTTTAAGTGTTTTGCCTCTTTCCCTTCCACATCCTTAGTCTTTCTGGGAACACAGCCACCCCTGCAGGCTCGAATCCACAGCTCATCCCAGCCCTTGCTGCCCCTGTGTTTGCACTGTGCTTTTGCTCCTTCAGACATCCAAGCTGGGGCCCAAGCAGCAATGGCAATAGGTCACCCTCCCTTCTCGAGTGGCATCCGACACAGCGTGCCATTTCTCCCATCCATCCCAGTTGAGATGTTCCCATAATCAATAGCGGGCCTACCCACCATGCATAACTGAGGCAATTAAGCTTTGTTTATGGACTATTAAATAAGGATGGAAATATGTAATAGTGTAGGCTTGTTGACTCTGAAACTGGAAAAAATAAACATTCTTCACTTACTCTGATGACATGATGTTTTCTGTCAAGTTCTGGGAATTTAAACAACTGGCACCAGTAGGTTGTATCCTTAAAAGGCACTGGAACCTGTTTTATAGAAATGTCAACATTGAAATTAGTAAAAAAGACAAAACAGAATTTATGTCAACACCACTTTTTCAGATAGTTTCCTTTACATGGTTTTGGTTTTAAATTGTGCAATTTCTTTCTATCCCTGTCTGTTTTTTCGAGGCAAGCTCTATCCCTTTAAATTCGACTGCTTCTAGTTTCTCACAAATCCCGACAAAAATAGATAGTAATAGCATAACAGCCTCCGGGAAGAGATTAGTGAGTTCTTTGGTGATAAAACTATCAGATCAGAGGTAGATTAGTGCAGCATTTAGAAATGTATATCTGTGTAAGAAAATTAAAGTAATATTCTATTTTTGCTTTTGACATTACACAAATATTTAATAATCAAAGCGTTTCCATTAATACCCATTCATGGTTATCATGACCTTTTTGCTTGTACTTGCCTTTCAAAGACTGAGGTGAAATGCACCTGGTTGTCTTTGGAAAATGTCAAAGAATTTGAATTAAAAGAGGTTGTGAGATGATAGGAACATCACAGCCTACATGTGTAATTTAAAAGCCATACACCCTTTGGAGTTAAAAGGTTTTGGACCCTTTTCAGTTCAGCTGATCCCAGCAATTTTCTACTTACATTAAGGTTTCTTAAGTCAAAGGAAGCCGTCTCAGAGGGGGCGGCTGTATGACCCCCAGGGTTGAGTAACCGCAGGCTCTTCCTTCCCCTGTTTACTCCATGGTATTGTGGTCCAGCAGCTCCACAATCCTCAGTGTGATAGGCCCATATCACTCTCACAGTGCTCTCCTGGTTATGAAGAACACAAGCAGTGATTAAAGCTGCTATTTCTAACTTAGTGAACAGGTATTTTAGCAGTGTTTTTGATGACAAGATTTCCTTTGATTCATAACTGATGGACATGCCCAAGTCTTATATTTCTTCTTTAATGTCAGATTAATTGTGATATATTTGCCCCCAAAGCAGGGTTTGCTCCAATGTTTTTAGTCACTGAAAAAAATTAAACTGTTTGATTGCTCACTGGCTGTGTTGTGCAGGGTTATTAAGCAGCCTTTTCAAGCACATACCGTAATGGGCTTGTCATTTCTGTCACATGTGTGGAGGTCTCTGCTGAAAGCCAGGACAGTGTGTGTATTATTCTCCATTGCGTACTCCAGATGGTAATTCTGCTGATCGTCTTTGCGGAGTTGTCTGCTCGTGCTTACAAAATAGTCCTGTTGAAAATATTACAAATGAAACACGACAGACTCCCTCTAGGGAATTTTATCATTTTGAAACGATATTATTTCAAAACAAATGCTTTTGAAATAATATGAAATATTATTCATTACATTTCTTTAACCCCTTTCTTCCTACAGGACTGCAGAATGCTACACAAATAGGTGGGGACCTACGTCTTCCACATCTGAACAGAAGGACCCACATGGGTGATACATGTATACAGAGACAAATAAAACCTTCAAAAGGCTCTGTGGTTATGTTTGTTCTTTTTATTGCATCTGGTGCTGAGTATTTTCATTGTTAAAAGGGTGGTGATAACTTAAAACTTCGCATTAATTCCCACCCTGGAGCCAAATTAAATTGCTATTTTGTCTTTGTGCAATTTATTAAACATTTCGATAAATTATATTTTACCACTGATTTAATTACTCTAAGCTTCTCTTGTGCTGTCCGGGTTCATGTAGCATTTCCGATCCTGATCCCTTTACGTCCGCGGCGAGACTGCTATAAACCCTTTCAGGAAATGACAAAAGTGTTGAGTATCAAAAGTAACTTATTCAGCAACAGAACTTCACAGAGGTTTTTCATCACCTTCCTTTTCTTTTCCCCTTCTTTACAGCACATGGAGTCACCTCGAATCTCAAATCCACCCTTAACCCAATGAGATGTCTGTGGCAACTCCCACCCCTCAATTCTGCCAGCTCATACCTTTACCTCATATGGGCGTTGACTCATAAGAAGCTGTTTAAGCCTGGCATCCACCAAGAATGTTTAAATCTTCAAATACGAACTTTTCCCGGGGAAAACAAAACAGTGCTAACTGGGGGTGTTAACCAAATATGTATTGATGAATCCTACTGGACAAAACCTATGCAAAACCCTGTGTGGAAGTCCATGCCAGTCTTGACAAGGAATAGAAGAAATAAAAGCAGACATACTCTAGCACTCATACTGTACAGTATGTATATACAGTATAGTAAGAAAATAACTCTACTCACTCTTTGTATGCACTACCTAAATACAGTAGCTATCCATTATAAAAAAGCTACATACAGTATATACATACAGTAAGGCTCGATCGGAAAAAAATGTTTTTTTTTTAATTTTGGAGCATGGGACTTACCTTTGACATTATGTTCTGACATGTGATGAGATCACAGCTTGGTATATTTCTGAGCCGTCGGATGACCGTATTATACAATAGCATTGTCTAAATTAGATACCAATACTAATATTTGTTCATCTATCTTATCATAATAATGAACTTTAAACTTTATTTAATATAACAATGTAAGCTTCAGTTGAACTTTATTTTTATATAGTACCTTTAAAATATATAAAATATGATCTCAAAGCACTTTAACAATATTGAACTGTAAAAAGAACATAAGAAAAATCACATAGACATATATGAAAAAATCAATCGTTAAGAGCCCTTATATCAAGCTGGGTTTAAAAACAATGCTGACAATGAGTTCTTTTGTATTGTTCTTTTGGGATGATGATGTTAACAAACAAAAAGACCTGTTACTCACTAAAAAGTGGGCACGAAAGTAAACAGATGAAATACTGACTAAATCATAAAATGCATAGCCACCATCATCACCAAAATTACCTTCAAAACATTCACTTTGCAATAAAAAAATGCACAGTCCCATCAAAGCAATGGTTTGATTTACTGTAACAGAAGGGAGGAAACCAATAACCCCAATTAGGATGCAATTAGGATGACCAATCAGAGAGAACTGGAAATTTCTACCTCAATATCAGTCTAGTGTGGATCTAGATTTCGGTATCATCTGCACAGAAATTATATTCCAGTCCATGTAATTTCAGTATTTGGAAAAAAGGAAATGCATAAGTAAAACAAAACAGCAGAGGGACCAGTATTGAGCCCTGTGGAACACCAGATGTAGCCACTCCAACCTCAGAACTAAAACCATCAAGAGTAATAAAATGACAGTGCTCAGCAAAGTAAAACGTCAACAATCATTTGAGGCCAATACCAGAGATGTCCTCTCTAACCAGGCAAGTATGATGATTTGATTACAGTGTCAGACAGGGGAGTAAGAGAATTAAGTGCACCCAGATCACCTGCCATGAGAGAATTACTAGCAACTTTATACTATATGACAATCATAGCACTATGTAATTGTTTGAATCCAGAACAAAATGTTTTAAAAAGTTAATTTATCATGAGATATCAAATTGACCTGCACTGCAACACTATATTCTATTTTTTTTTCACAAGAAAAGTAAACATCGAGACAGATATTTATATACAAGTACTCCGTAAGTAAGAAGTAGCTACAGTATACGCTTTTTAATAATCAAGGAACTTCCAAAATAAAATCGAGAAATGCAGAATATTGGTGCTTATTGACTCAGAAATCTACCTTTGCCTTGCATTGTTCTGAGCCCAAAGTATGACAACAAAGATGTTTTAGAGTACACACAGACATTTCAATGGGTTAGAGGTACAGTATCAGAATATGCCACTACAAGTATCTCTCCTTCTTTTATTACATTAGAAGTTTAAGAGGCAACACTGAGAGGACTGATTTTTGAGATTGTCAGTGTGGCATTACAAAGATATTTTGGAGTTTATGTTAATTCATTCTGAACTGCAGTTTGGTACATTTTGCTTGATATGTGTTAATCTGGATTTCGCCTATAATGTCGTTCTAAGACATAGGTTGCAACTTTGCAGACAATGCATCTCTCTTAGACATGAGATGTACATCCCTGATCTAGAAGGATGCATCTTCATCTCAGTACACCTTTTACATTAGTATGGAATTGCTGTGATTTTCCTGTTTCCTATCTGCAATGTCTGATCTTCTGCTACTGTCAGCCCCAGGAACTTCATGAACAGGCACTGCCACGCCTGGTTCATGGGGTCTGACAAAATCATTCATCTTGGTGGTTTGGCTACAGGCCATTTATCAGTAAGACTAGAGTCTTACTCATCATAAAACAAACATGATGCTTAAAGGGCAAGAACAAAAACACAACCAGGAGACATTGTTGTACTTTGCAGTGAATTTTTTATTTAAATGCTTCTGTGCATTTTGAAGTGTACTTCTTGAGTTTGGAGAAAATGGTTGATTACATTTTGAACACTAATATGTGTAGGCTACCATGGATTTACAAAATATACAATGATTTAATGCAATACGTACTGCAGTAGAACATTATATTGAGTTATAATGCATTGCATTATTGATTTTAATTAACTTTGGCAAATAGGTGTCACGCCCTCTGCAGCCAGAGGGCGCTCCTTCTCTGTCCTGTCCCTAGTTTCTGGTCTGCTGTCCTTCCTGTCCCTCTCTTTCCCTTGGGCTATATATTTCCGGGTCTTGCACTCTGTCCTCGCTCAGCATTGACGTTCGGATGTCCTGAGACCCGCCTAGCACCAGGGCGCCCCACGTCCGCTCCCTGAGGGCATAGGTTTCTATACGGCATTCCTGAACTCTTTGCACTAATGAGCCCGGGCCTTTTTCCCGTCTCGCCGCTACGCATATGGGTCTTTTTCCGCTCTACTACTCCCCACGGTTAGTCCCTTTGGACGTCCGTGACAATAGGTCATTGTCTATTTGTAATTAAATTTGTAGTGATCCTGAAGTCACAGGCCATCACATTGTGCACCCTTGTTTTTTTTTAGAAAATGTATAACAATGTATATTTCTCTTCACCTAATGACCTTTTGTGACTTCTCTTTTTCCTGATGGTCAAGTAGTTATTTGTAATAATACAGTAGGTGTGAATGGTAACTGGAGCCACTGTGGAGTGCTGAGCCCATACAGTGACACCTGTTACACAATTTCATAACTTAATAACTAAAGGAACTAGTGGCCTTACACATTCAAAATATAATATACACAATGTTTAACCATGTAACATTCCCCTGATACGGTATGTTTTTTTTTTTTGTTGCAATGATTATTATAGCCAGAATTCTATTACACAGCTACTCCTTGATGAAAGTCAGAAAACATCGTTTTCTATGGGTTTTTATCTTATCTTTTCATTCTGCTCCTCCAAATACTTTCAATGCGATCCAGTGATACCCTCAACGCTCCGCCGTATTCCTAATGCAGTAAAAGAAACTATGAGAGTCCTACATTGAAATATGTTCGCAGCACCATTTAATTTGCAGTTATGCTTATTAAATTCACAATACTATGCGTGTATTAGTACAGATTTCGAAGTAAAACTGAAAGATAATCAGAAACACGTTCAATTAAAAAAGAACCAGTGTTCAAGAACTTTTCCTGAAATGTTATAACGAGACAAAACTGAAAATCATAAAAAATGCAAAACTAACCTTCCCTACTAATAAATATCAATCAATCTCATTCTGAAGTTTATTCCAAGAGTGGAAACTAAAGTGTTCCGTTTTTCCTGACTATTGACCCACACGCCTTTAATGACATTAAAAGTTAACATTCAGCATAGCGGCACTATTTGATCACGTTGCGGATTTCAGAAGTCAATTTCCGAATCGATGTTTTAGCTTTGTTTTAGTTTTACTGACAGTAGCCCTTCTCACCACACTTTCGGCTGTTCGTAAAGCATAAAGGTTTCTGTTTAGAATTGAGTTTAAAACAAATTATTATAGCAGAAGGCTTGCGACATATTGCAGGCGGTTAAAGAGCAATAAACGCTATTAATCATTAAAGACGCAGGATATTGAAAAACAACTGTGCATTTTTAAAACTTTCACATTTTGTACAAATCAAAACTGGCAACTGGCTTAGAGCACCTGGGATTCCTTACAGAGAAGATTCTGTGATGCAAGTCTAATCATAAAAGGTGTGTATTACAAAGAAGGACGTTCATTTTCATACCTGTATATAAGGTTTCCCAAGCTCCACTCCACCAATTACAATGTCTGATAACGCCATTGCTCCATTGGGAGATAGTCCGAATCCAATATAGCCTCTAGTTTCCACTTCAATTTCAAAGGTAATTCTGCTTTCATTATGTTTCCATTTCATGTGGTATTTCCCCTGATCATCCAACACTGTCGAATGCCAGAAACCTCCTTTGGTGCAAAACGACGGGTAAAATCCAAAAATGACGATACAAGTAAGGGCAGGAGAGCAGTTTGGCAGTGCCATGCTGGATCCTTTCACTTAAATCACTTCCAGCATTCACGTGTTAAAACACTGATTTTTAAATCTTGATTTCCCAGGAAACGAATGTACTGTAAATGCCGCAGATCCTGATTGACCGTTTCTAGCTGGCAAGCAGCACTGAAAGCGAGCGATCCGGCAAAAAACGATCTAGCAGCACAGCTCACTAGAAACAACCATCTCATCCTCCCATCGAGACTGTCGAAACTTGTGCAAGTGCTTTCTGATCTGCAGCGACACGTCCTGCTCTCAACTCTATGGTCATTTTTTTCTCCAAATGGCTTTTGTGTTGTTTTTTGTTTTTGTATTACGGTATGATCTGTCGTTTCTTTCTTCTTGGGTTTCAAAGAGGAGCGCTTGGATTAGTTAAAACCGAAATGTCAGCGGGTACCCTGCACATACATTTTCATCAAATATCTTGACACTGATCATTTTAGAGTGGCTAATAAAAGTAATAATAGTATTACTAGCAGTAGTCTTAATAATCCTAATAATAATAATAATAATAATAATAATAATAATAATAATAATAATAATTAGTTAAAACCGAAATGTCAGCGGGTACCCTGCACATACATTTTCATCAAATATCTTGACACTGATCATTTTAGAGTGGCTAATAAAAGTAATAATAGTATTACTAGCAGTAGTCTTAATAATCCTAATAATAATAATAATAATAATAATAATAATAATAATAATAATAATAATAATTTAGAACTTTTGGTATCACTTTATTTTAGAAATAACTTTTGCTTCTTTAGGAGTTAAGCCACGTGTTAGGTTTTTACAGTATTTGTGACATACTGTACAGTACTACCAGTAATATTTGGTAAAGTTATAAAGTCAAGCTACAGTAGGTACCTATAATCTATTATGACTAATACAATATCTATACTTTAGGTGGGCAGGGCGGGGTGTTTAATAAATATAAAAAATAAAAAACAGACACAGTCTGCTCTCTAAACCTGATACACAATTGTGAGAACTGTTTCTTTAAATCAGACAGACACAGGCACTGTCTGGTGGGGACTAAAAGGAAATAAAGCTTTCCTCATAAATGAAAAAAAAAAAAAACAGTTGTCTCTTCATTACTTCTAGTCTCTTTTGTGCTCATAAACACCATTTTTCAGTTTTTGAAGATTTCAGTTTTCAAAGATTAGGTTTTGACATTTAGGTAAGGCTAAATTGCTGGTGCTTTGAATCTGAAGAGAAGTGGAACTCACAATGTGTTGCTTCTTCCATGTTGGAAGAAGATGAGTGACACAGCTGAATATATAACTAATATAATAAACTGGTCTTCTTTGGCTACTCATCTCTTGCTATTTCATTACTTTGTTGGAACATCTTCCACAGAAGTCTGCCTAATGGGACCTCCTCCTCCAAGGGAAGAGTTTTAGTATATGTAGATACGGATGATCAGAACCAGTTTTCATCTCAAAAGACTATGCATACTCTTGTTGCCCGACTTAAGCACAATGGATTATCTGTGCCATGAACCAAGTGTCAGGGATGGCGTTAGGAGCACCTGGCTGGACCCTATGCGGCGCTGAGACTGTACTGTAGGTAGTAGCAAGGGATTGGCATCCAAATCCCAAAGCTAAAGTGCAAAAGTTGAAGTCGAGGTAGAAGAACTAGGTCGGGTATCACAAGAGTCAGGTCGAGAGTATCCAAATCCAAAACGAGAAGCAAGGCGAAGTTGAAGCAGGAGGAAACAAGGTTGGGTAGCCAGAAATCAGGTTGAGCGTAGTAGTGCGCACCAGAGAAAGCACAGGGTAATTCTCACTAGTGAGCGGAGTGAGAGGGTATAAACAGGGAAGAGCGTGAGGAATGAGGATCAAGTGATTAGTGCGCAGGTGTTGGGGGTGAGAGGTGCTCCTGGGAATGCGGTTCGTGACACCAAGATGACGTGCGAATTTAAGGGCTCAAAGACCAGTGAACAGGCTTTTAGTCTAGCATCTGAAAAGAGAATGAGACAGAATCACAAAAGAGTCTACAAGCTGGCGCACAGCAATGTTTGGAGATGTGACATTAACCTGTGGCTTTCACAACAAGCACCACCATTGATAACAAATGTAAGCAGCCGGCAGAAGAATCCTACTCCATTGCACCCCTGAGCAAGGCCCTTTACCCAACTGCCCCAGGGGCGCCGTACAATGGCAGACCCTGCGCTCTGACCCCAGGCTCTCTCCCTATCTGTGTGTCTCATGAAGAGCAAGCTGGGGTATGCGAAAAGATAATTCCTAATGTAAGAAATTGTAAAGGGTTAATAAAGTGATGTTATTATTGTTATTATTATTATTATTATCATTATGAATTTACTTATGTCTGTTCAGTAAAATGTCAGTACACCTGATACAAAAATGATTTTCCTGATAATACCTTGGTGAATTTGTTGCAGTATTTTTTGTTGCTCAGTATTGATTTGTTGGTTGGCAGCAAGTATCTTCAGTGTGCATGAATGTGGGAGATTTGAGTGAGTGGGGGGTTTTCCATTTTACAATTTTTTTGCTTTTCTTGATAATCTACACTTCAGTTTCATTATAATGGTATGTGAGAGGGTAGCAGGTTCTGACAAACTGACTGCTCTTTTAATTAGAAGGTACAATAACCAAAACACCAAAACATAAACAAAAGTCTAAACTACCTGTAGACTTCTACGTGAACCTTATCTGTAAACTCAACTGGGCTGCTAAGCTCCCTGCATAGGGAGGCTAGAGGTGTGTTTTACGGACACAATGGACACTACCTAATCTTGAACGAACAATCTCTCCTGTGCTGAAGGAAGCACAGGTTCCCAGAAAGTATTGACCTCTGTATAAATGGTTTGTTTGCTACCGGTATTGAGTAAACTTCTTGCAAAGGCAAAATCTGAATGGGAACT